CAATCATATCATTACTTAAAAAGTAAAATCAAGACTTCCAACGAATTTCGAAAAAAAAGGGGGCGAAAGCCGTACAAATTTCTCCATGGCGAAGATCAAGCGAAGCTACGACGTTTTCCTCAGTGGAGACAATCACGCGCTTCCTCGCGGCCTTCTGAGTGTGGAAAACGGCGTGCTTTACTTTGCCCAAGTACTGCTGATGCCTACATAATTGCAGAAAATTAAATCAAGAATCATCCTAAAAAGGACCGCGTGGTACGCAGGTATATATATATATATATACACAAACAGCACAGAAAAAGTGGAGTTTGAGTGATACCAATCCATGAGCCCAACTTGGTCTTCGTACAGAGAAAAGGTGGGGTAGCAGAAAAATAAAAGGACGATGAAGAGCAGAAAAACCCTAATCGCCATCTTCATGGCGTCGTGCTCGTGCTCCTAAGCTATTTTCCTATATAGAAGGATAAAACGAATAGAGAAAGCAGATCTGAGAGAAAGGTTCGATGCTGGTGAAGGAGATCGAAACTCTTCAGTCCTATTATAGCAGCACATGAGCGTGTAGCTGAGGTTATACCTTTTTAACCAATTGCTTTTGTTCGATAAAGGCAATGTTCTATAAGTGGCGCCCATTAGGCGCTCGACCTGCGCCTAACGTCTAGAGTATCTAAGCGGGGCCCACCTAGGCGATGTCTAGTCGCTGCTTAGAAATCAATATTAATATCATATTTTTTATTTAACTACCTACAAAATAAAATTATCCAAACTTATCATTTAGCCAAAAGAAGGACTCTGCTTCTTACGAACCAAACGGGCCTCTTTCTCTCGAAAAACCTGCTACGGAACTACCGAGGAGGGGCAAAAATACGCAAATCAAATAAATAAGGGGTGAAAATCACCTACTGCTGACTAGTCCTATAAGTTTTTTACTGAACTTCGCCAATACTTCTGACTTCACTGCGCTTCGAAAAGTTTGTATCTTCAATACTCATTTTCTTTTTCAACGTATGGGTGATCGACGATAACATATCCCCCAAGAGTGAATAAATCGCCACACCTAAATCCAAATAATAAAACTAATATATTTTAAAGAAAACATAAGAACAAAATAATGTAATTAGTATTTTAAAAAATAAAAAAAAAAAACTAAAAAATCGTCGTCGAGCCGCCTAGGAGCGCCTAGGTCCGCCTATGCCCGCCTAGGCGCTGTCTAACCGCCTGGCCGCCAAGTCCGCCAAATCCACCTAGGAGCGCTTAGGGCCGCCTAGGCCCGCCTAGGCGTCGCCTAGCCGCCTGACCGATTTTTTCTGCCAATTTGTGCAAATCGGAGGTGCCCGGGCAATGCCTAACGTCTAGGCGGCCGCCTAGGCCGATTTTTAGAACAACAGATAAAGGTACCGGACCCCACATATCTACGGTTTATAGAATGTAACCCGGGATGTGGAGATTTCTGTTCAAGGACCGGTCAGTCTATCAGACCAAGCGACAAGTGATTCTAAAAATAAAAATATCACTCTGATGCCACCGGTTTTGGATCGGCCGTCGATTTTGAATCGGTCCATCAATACGCGGGTGAATCTTAGTTGTGGATCTTCCATCAAGTAGAAGATCAACGTTCAATGTTAAATTATAGTCGGACAGAACACAAATCAAAATTGTTAAACTTTAAAATTTAAAATTTCTTACATCAAACTCAATGAGTCGAGTTGTTATGGGTTGGCTTGAACCCGTTGGGTCAAAATTTTTTAAACCTTGCCAAAGAATTTTAGCTAGAAACCTGCTCACAGACCTCGAGGCAATTGGCTAACTCTATCACGTTACCACCTGTAGATAAAAGTCATTTGGGTTTTAATTATATTGACGGTCGATCGCCAACGATTATTATAGATATAAATTAAGTGGTTTAATTGGGGGATTATTATATATTTACGGTGCAACTAATCCTAATGAATCTCATGAGGATATGGACGAAGTTATGAAAAATTGATATGTACAAAAAAAAAGAACAAGGAATCGATATTGTCGATCGGCAAAGAATAAATTCTCCATAGTTTTTTATGAAGAAACCATATAAGGGAATATTACAGACATATGAGGAAGAAACTACACATGTTTGTAGTTGTGTTTTTCTTTTCTTTTCTTTTTTTTTTTTTTTTTTTTTTTTTTTTTTGTTTGTTGTTTTTCTTAGGGCCCGAACTGGTCAGTATTTATACACGAAAAAAGTGAAACAAGCATTAAATGTCTGGTGCCAGCTAGGAGAGTAGGGTGGCGCAACGCGTATCCATGCAAAAGTCTCTTTTTGAGGATAAGACGGTTTGGGTGGTGCCATCAGCTTTATCAGTTCAGTGTTTTGACAAGGGACGATCGCTAATCTTCCTCGAGAAGACTCGAAGGGTGATCGGTAGGACTAGGTCTCGACCGATTGAGAGATCGACAAGCCTAGTCCCAGGCTCTTGGGTCGCCCCGTGAGATGGTTCGTGTGTTTTATGGGTCGTTCGCTTTTGATGTGAGTTTGACCTAGTATTTGGACTGCATCTTTTTGGGAGCTTTGTGTTCAGATATTTCTTGGTACAACACTTTATCTTATTACTTGAATTAAATTTTTTTAATTGGTTTGTAATAATACTAATAATAGAAAACTTTATTGAAAAATTTTAGTTGCTACTTAGAGATATGAGGGTTGATGTCTAGGGAAAACTTTGTGAAAGAAAGAAAATAAAAAATGATTTTGTAGTTGGTACTTGAGATACGAGGGTTGATATGGCCATAAGCCCGTAATAAGTTAGGTTCACCATCTCGTAGTAAGCTTGGTGAGCTTGATTATTTGGTAAGTTAGTCAATTTGTCAGCGGCTATTTTTGCCATCATTCATTCTAATTTATTCATAAACCATTCAATACTCGTGTACACACACTAATGTCCCAAATATAATAAGAGTACATAAGTAGTAGGTAATTATACATCAGGTACTCTTTGTAGATGCCTCGTACATATCTGACAATATGCACCATTGAGATTATAACAAGTGTCATTTTAAATCTTTATATATATTCTTTTTTTAAAAAAAAAAAATCATTAATGAAACTACTAAATTACCCTTACTTAAAAAGTAATAGGAAAATAATTTAAGTGATACCAAAATTTTATCTTATTTTTGGTTTCGGCACCAAAAATTTTCACTTAATCAACTGTTGTACCAACCAGAAAAATGACATAAAATTACGAAAAAAAAGGAAAAAAAAATTACAAAAAGTATCATTTCAAATTGAAGGCTCATATGAGTTTTTTTTTCTCGAAACGATTGAATTCAACAGAAGAAACACATATATACAAACTATAATACAGTTAACCAGTCGAATAAAGCAGTCACTCAGTTGAATCTAGTTGGGAGGACTACACAAAGTGTAACCTAGAAAAGAACAAACACACCAAACACTAAAACTAAACAAACTCCCACGAGTGGAGAATACAGAAGCTCCCACAAGTGGAGAATAAAAGCTCCCAATGGGAAATAAAAAAGACAAATGAACATAGAAAAAACACAAAAGAAGCCTAAAAACTCACAGACAAAATAAAATAACCCAAGATTTAGCCTAAATTAACGCTCTCCTCAGCAGATATGAACACTCAGCACCCCACAACCCGAGACAAACACCCTACGCAATCCACCGGGAGGAAGCCACACTGTCCATTACCCATCACACCGGGTCTAGAAATTCCACTAACGGCTAATTAGACCCTGTCCAACAGAGAAACCTCCCTTAGTACACCACAAAAACAACCCAGGACGGTCCTCACCACTACCCCCCC